AAGGACGATGCAGAAGGGATATTTATCACGGATAGTTTACTCGTTATCTGTCTACATGTAGGTGGTTATCCTTATTATTTCCTATTACAAACAATAGAATTTTGCTATCGTAGTCGATATTTTGACAGTAAGAATAGTTGTGGATTGATGATACAATGAAGACATTGTTTCATCAACGTTGTCTCTTCCGCTCGTAGTAAAGCCTATCGCAACTGTATGCCCATGTGTGTATAAACATCGCCCACAATGGAGGCCAGCACTTTATACACAGTAGGTATGGTACGCTGTTTAGTTTTATTCCATTCATTGGCAACATACATACGGCCTCAATTATAGCCCAAACGTGTTTCATATTTTAAAAAAAATTAACACATAAAACAAAAATACGGATGAACGAATAAATTTGATAGAAGACGTTAAGTATAACACGAAAAGAGAGTAGTGGGGTATAAAACAACATATCAAGTTGTAAAAAACATTATATAACATCAACGGTCATAAAACTTCGTAAGTATAGTTGTACGTTTGACCGTACTTAACTTAAACTAACTTCAGCCACCTCCAGCTAAAGTGAGTCGACTAAGTGAATTACACCAACTTTAGACCGTTTGTTCCCAAGACAAATCCCCGACGGCTTGAATAGAAAGTTACAACTTCGTTACAAGCACTTTCGGTAGACAACAGCATCTAAGCAATACTAATTCCAATTTCATACCATATTGTATTAAATTAATTAAATATAGTTTACTCCATAAAACTCTTGTTTTTTTTTTCGAATGCGATTTATCAAACTCACCAGCTTAGGTAAATTTGCCTAACTGTTTGGTGTAATAAATAATAGGCGAATGACTTTGATTATTTTTATGACTAACCTTTCTTGATTCTTACTTCACTCGAAAGCCATATCGTCCCCGTAGTTGGAAAATTAAATAAATATGATTTTGTAGTTCTGAGATAAACGCGATTTAGTGGGTTTTTTTTTTAGTTAATGTACATTTGTTAAAAAATGTGAGACAATTTTACTGTAGGTAATTTTATATTTTGTGGACCTGATTACCTTTTATATTATGCTTTAACAAACTGAACTCTATCTTTAACTATAACAAAATAAAACATTAAAAATCAAGTTGTTTAATTTTACCACAACTATTATTTATAACGTAACTACAATTAGCTACTTATTTCGGCTATTTATTTAGTTTTCCTACAAGCTAAATCCATTTGGTAGAGTAAAATTTAGTGAAATAAATGCAGTTATTGAATTTATCAAACTCGAAATATTTTTAAATGTAAAACTTAGTGGCTTTGTATTTTACATTATTTTGATATTTTTAACTATTATTGGCCTCATATAAAATAAAAGCTGTACTATGATATTAATAAAGTTATATTTTGGAAGAAATGTAAAAGTACAATAAAATTAAAAAAAGGGTATTGTAAACAGATATTTATCTTGCCACAAACTTAAAAAAATAAACAAAATTATAGCAATTATAACAAGTGGAAACAAATTAACTTAAAGTATTCTTTCAAATCAAAACAGAAAATAATTTAAACCCAAAAAATAACAATATGGCTCTAAAATCAGAGACCTTATTACAAAAGACATACTTAAGTAGTAAGTAAAACTATGAAAAACTTAAAATAGGTATGCTATTTAATTTATTTGCCATTTAACTTATCATTGACCACAGTTATTGATTTATTTACTGAGTTATTCATTTTTCCTTCAAAAAATAGTGTTAGTCTGAAGATATTTATTATTCCATTTGTCCGACAAAAATGGCTATATTTTTGGAATGGAATAAGATACGAAAATGCCTATAAGGCTCAAATATGCGGCATGTTTTAGGTGTTTTGAAATAGGGAAAAGTCAATATCGCCAAAACCGGACTTATTTAATTTTCCACCTACGGGGACGATATTTAGTCTTTCATCTCTATAAATGTCTAAATAATTATTTTATTCATCCAAACTTAATTTATTAAGAAATGCAAAAGATATTTGTCAAAATGAAGATAAAAGAGTGTAAAACTTATTTAAGTAAAGAAAATGTATACTGCAGCGTATGTCTTCAGTCTTCATTATTTTTACTTACAAAGTTTTGTTGCACGTAATACGTCTGAAACGCTTTCAAGATCAAAAGGCACCCGCAGTGCACTAACCAACGAGGACTTTTTCTGTAGTCAAAGGAGATTGCGAAACAAAAGCCACGGTTCGTTATCTCGCGCCTTCAGCGCTGGGGGATCTCACTATTTCTACTTGTGAACATTACATTCTGGTATAATGTATATATTTACAATATTACCAGAATCCCTCAAATACTTTGTAACATAACGCAAGGTGACATGCATTTGCGTATTTGAGGAATCAATGATTGATAAGTTCATGTCATTCTTGTGAAGTTCGAAAAAATAAAAAATAAACTTGTCCTCGTAAAGGACCTTATGATGAACCAGAGTCTTTTTGTAGAGTTTTAAAGAATACTTGACATAGGAACATGGTAAACGTTATCATACATGAGGCTTTTGAAGTTCTTGTTTGTTGAAATTATCCAAATCACGAAAAAAAATGGTAGTCCGTTGGAGTAACGTCTGGCGATTACGAAGAATGACGTATAGTTTCTAAATGCAAGTCCTGTAGAGTTATAAGGGTTATCGTGCAGTTTTAGGTCTTGCGTTATAAAGGAGCAAAGAAAATCGATTCACAAGTCCGGCTGTTTCACTGCCAGTTTCGCCATCATTGTTCGAAGTTTGGCACAGTAAACATCAGCTGTTATTGGCCGACTAGACCTAAGAAAGCTAAAGCGAATAACACCATGAAGAAACCACCAAACAGTTACATTACCTTTTTATTGGTAAGCTTTGCTTTAGAGCACTGTTGCGGCGTTTGACCTGGGATCAGCCATTGCATTTTTCGCTTACGGTTATCATAAACAATTCACTTTTCGTCACATGTCACAGTTCGGTCCAATATTTCTTCATTTCTGTACCGATTCAACAAGGCAACACAAGTTTCAACACGCATATCTTTCTTCAGATCAGTCGAATCATATGGCACCCACTTTTAATTTTTTAAATCTTATTGATTTAATGTAAATGAGTCAATATTGTAGGTAGGGTAACGTTAAACAATGCCGCTAATTCCTGGTTTGACTCGGATCGGCTTTCACCATCTCCTTCAATTCAACGTTATTCACTGTGTGGGCGATCTTCCACGTGGTTCGTTCTTCAAGTCGAAGTATCCATTACGAAAGCGTTTAAACCAAAAACAAACTGTGCACTCATTAACAGTCTCCTCTCCAAACGCAGCGTTGATATTGCAAACCGTTTCTGACCCGTTAGTTCCGCGTCGGAACTCGTATTCAAAGTGACTCGGATTTACGAAGTATCCATCTTTTACGTCTAAGCTGAATAAAAAAAAATGAAAGTCGAAAATCGAATATTTTTTAAAGGAAAAACCTCATAGGTATAACATGAAAAAAAAATCGAACGAAAATCTCTCGCCGTGAGGGTTTTATGTCAATTCAAATTATCTTTTACTATACAACGGCAATTTCATTCTTTAACCCCTATTATTTTTATAATATTATGTTCCAACAACTATTATAGTCGTTCAGCATCGTCACAATATGCAATATGGAACTTTACACATGCAGATTGGCACAAAAGTATTGAAAACAATAATATTCATTTAACATTTTGTGATGAATGCTTAGTCAGAATCTAAATATTTGAAGGTAGTATTTTATATCAACAAATTATACTGCCATATGAATTAGGTATAGGTATGTTTGTGTGGATGTGTTGATAATATTTTCAATTGTATTAATAACTATAAACATTATAACAAGTAATAATGGACCTAATAAGTATAGTACAACCTCGAGAATCAAGGTAATATATGATAAAATGAGCATAGGTTAACATTCACGTGTCGTGTCACTCGAGATTGTAACTAAATGCCTGAAAATAAATATGAATTTCATGAAAATCAAATTTTGATATTCGCGAGAACATCGCGAGTTTTTATTATTCATGGACAATACTAAGTCAAATTTCATACCATATTGTATTAAATTAATTTAATATAGTTTACTCCATATAACTCTTGTTTTTTCCCGAATGCGATTTATCAAACTCACCAGCTTAGTTTAATATGCCTTACTGTTTAGTATGATAAATAATAGGCGAATGACTTTGATTATTTTTATGACTATTATGACCTTACTTGATTCTTACTTCACTCGAAAGCCATCAAATAGCGAATAGCAAAATCAAATTTGATATTCGCCAGAACATCGCGAGTTTATATTATTCATGGACAAGAAGCGAACTGACTATGAATATATAACTTTTTATTTTGCCACTTTGCTATAAGTAGTACAGAACTTGTGCACCTCTATAAAGTCTGAGTGCCTTTTGTGTCATCGCTTTTCAAAATATATATATTAATCAATAAGAAATATTAAACACGGAGATGGGCAATAAAAGATTCTGTTTATTTTTAAATCTAATATTTTAAATTTATTATATGTGCAAAAAAAAAGAATTTTTACAATAACGAAACGACGAACCAAAGAAAAACCAACATTCCATTAATGAGAAAAAATCTCCGAGACTCTCAATACTCTACATAAATGTATAATATAGTCCAAGTGCCTACTTTATTTCCACTTCTGTACCTCTATCAACGAGTACGCGCAGTGAGCATGTTGATTGGTTTAGTAGTTAAGGCGTAAAAGCGTAATAAACAAACTCACTTATGCATTTATATTATTTTGTGAACTTCGCATGCCTTTGTGCATTTAGGTGTATAATGATGAAAAGTGTCAATTAAGTAATAAGTACTTTATTAAATCAAAACCATAAACCTATTTTATTACATAAAACTCTTTACTAAAATAACACCTACCGTTATGAAATGAAGATATATCAAATGTCATAAATTAAATGCCACGTCAAAACTAGCAAATAAAGCTTTGTGTTTCTTAGATAAAAATGAGTAACAGAAATAGTGTAACCGACTCCACTCAGACTGAAGATGTGGGGAATAAAATGAAGTATAGCATCAGTACTACAGTGGGCAAACATGCGAGGAGTCTTTTTAATCACTGGCCTGACATGTCGCTTGTAAACTTTCTTGAGCTCGAACCCAAAATTGCTACTTCAAGTAATAATAATAATAATTTCATACACCTCACACACAGCACTCTGATCCCAAAAACCGGCAGGCGGTGGAAATATTTTTAAATACATACATATTATATGTAAATAACACCCAGACACAGAACAACGATCGTGCTCATCACACAATTACACCCATTTAAAAAACGGTTGTTTTAAAAAAAATGGTTTAAAAGATTATATTTTCGTAAAGTTTCTGTATACTAAACTAAATTTATCATTTTAAATGTCGCAGTGTCACGAACCTTAACCCGTCGAAGTTTTAGTACTCTATCAGCATCTAAGTCAGTTTTGAAAAACTGGAAAGCTCCAACAACGTCGGAGATTCTCGAACAGGTATATTGCTTTTCTTTATATTCACATAGGTCATAAAACGCTAATACATAGAATTATAACCTACCTATTTTAATTCCGTTTCTTTATTTCTTTATATTGTTTACTACCTATCCCTTCAGCTCGCGTATAAAACGAAAAGCTTTTGTCGCGAAATTCCTTCTAAGCTCACTCCTACCTATGAATGACCTCCGTGCCAAATTTTAGGTATCTTGTACATATTATAAAATCCAAAACATTGAACTGGACTGCACTGATGGCGTAGTGGTGGTGGCTACGCCGCTGCATCTGCGCTGTGTTCTGTTGAGAGTGCGCCAGGTTCGATCCCCACATGGGACGCCACTTTGTGTGATCGACAAATTATTGTTCTGAGTCTGGGTGTTCTTAGTGTCTGTTTCGTGTGTGTTTGTAAAGTCCCCCGTGACGCAGGATAAATATTTCTAATGCGGAAGTTGTCTTTTTTATATTTGTCTTTTTGTTATATTAACTTGCAAAAGCCTTTAGACTTCCTTAATCAATCCCTCTTGTCTGATGTATTGTATCTATAAACAACTTTCCTGCGAAAAAAAGTAACAAAAAAACGGACTTTCACATAAAGTTGCGAAAGCATATTCCTCCCGGTCCCGGTCAATGCGTTCTAAATTGATGTATCCCACCAATAAACAACCTTTCTGCTCTATTTCAGACCTCTAATAAAAAAAAAAACGATCAAACTACGCAGGACAATAACACTACCAGGAGAAACAAACCCTATACCAAACCGTCTGGCCAGTGCGGTATAGTAGGCCCAAACCTTACCGTGGGAGAGCCATGCTTCGGTATAATTGGCCCGGTTTGACTGGTGCGATACCACGGCCTCACAGAAAACCGGTCGTCAAGCAATTCCATGTTGCATTTTACTGAGTGAGTGAGGTTTCCGGAGCCCAACCCCTTCTACACCCTCGCTTATGACACCAAGCAACTGGGCGTATATCTCTAGGCTGCCCCGCGTATTTTGGGGGGTTGAGCACAACTGCGCTCAACAAGAAACCTACCGGCGGCAAGAGTAGGCACATCGAGTCATCCCTTACCATCCTTGATGTTTACTTCTGCAACATCAGGCGTCTACACTTCAACCTTAATGCTGTCCACCACCACCTCGAGACAGTGAAGCCGCCCTTGCTCTTTTAAACCGAGACGCAGATATCATCTCCATCGGACTCACCCTACCTCTCCTACCCCGGCTATAACCTGGAACGTTGGAGATGATATCAGTTCTCGCCGCTTCGGCAATCTTGAAGGACGGGTCCTCTCCTTTTTGTGGCTCCGTGTAGACAGCGACGTGTCTATGTATGCCTTTACAGGTCCCATAGCGGTGATACCGTAACTGACCGACTGATGAACCCCGTCCAAATGGCTACAGATTCTGTGCTGCAGCAGATCCCATCCGCAGAGATCGTGATTCTTGGCGACTTTAACGTTCATAACGCAGAATGGCTTGGCGGACCTAAAACCGATCACGCGGGGAGATCTGTTCATAATTTCGTCCTGACATATGGCTTGTCACAACTGGTATCAATGCCCACGCGAGTCCCAGATGTGGAAAGTCATGACCTTCACTGTTGGACCTACTGCTGATCTCTGATCCGGAAGGCTATAAAGTCATCGTTATGCCCCGCTTGGCTTTTCGGATCATTGCCTAATACGGAGTACGTGCCATTCATGTGCTCGCCGCGGCCGCAAGTTGCAGGCTGCTGCCACGTATGGCACTATAGGTCAGCGGACTGGGATGGGGTGCACTCTTGCCTTGCGTCCTACCCATGGAGGCGGGTTTGTTTCTTGCCGGATGATTCCAACTTCGTTGCCGATTCTGTCACTGATGTAGTGCTTCAGGGCATGAAACTATTTGTTCCATATACACTCATTCACTTGGTACAACAGATCCTGCAAAACGGCGTCCTGCCGAAAGCAGGAATGTTACCAAGCATGGGCTAATGCAGCGACGAAAGGTGATTTAAACACCAACACGATAAAAAAGCAATACAACTTTGTCTCCAGATCCCTCAAAAGAGCCATTGCCAGGGCGAAATCGGAGCACATCAGCCGGATTGGTGAAAGACTGGTGAGACTTTCTTCTGGAACTCGTACATCCTGGTCTCTTGCCAAGGCAGTCCAGCGGAATTTCTGTAGCCAATCCCGTCCACTCCTGCAGATGGGCGACGATTTGTTGGCCTATGATGCTAAGGAGAAAGCTGATCTCCTAGGCAAACTCTTTGCGCCCAACTCGACTTTGGATGATAGACTCCATCGGGCCCACTCGACTTATGAATATCAAGATATTCATAAGTCGAGTGGGCCCGATGGAGTCTCCCCTATCGTGCTGAAGACGTGTGCTCCAGAGTTGGCACCGGTTTTAACTCGCCTTTTTTGACTCTCCAACTCCCTAGGCGTCGTTCTGAACTGCTGAAAGATAGCGTTTGTGCACCCGATCCCTAAAAAAGGTGACCGCTCTGATCCGTCCAATTACTGGCCTATAGCCATAACTTCCTTCTTCTCTAAGATTATGAAATCCGTAATCAACTGCCAGCTCCTCCGGTACATAGAAAATCAACAGCTACTCAATGACCGACAATATGGTTTTCGCCGGGATCGCTCGGCTGGTGATCTTTTCGTTTATCTAACACACCGGTGGGCACAGGCGATCGAGACCAAAAGAGAGGCTTCTGCGGTAAGTTTGGACATAGCGAAGGCATTTGATCGGGTGAGGCATAGGGCGCTTCTCTCGAAGCTCCCTTCCTATTGGCTTCCCGAGAAATTATGTAACTGGGTCACCAGTTTTCTTGCAGGTAGAAGCATTAAGGTCGTTATCGACGGTGTATGCTCCGACCTGAAGTCAGTAAATGCTGATGTCCCGCAAGGCTTTGTGCTATCACCCACACTGTTTCTTCTGCATATCAATGATATGTTACGAACTAGTGTCATCCATTGCTATGCAGATAATAGCACTACAGATGTCTATTATACCGGCCATCGCTATATTTCTTGGGAAAACGTGATCGAGAGTCGAAACGAATTTGTGTCTGAAGTTGAAATTTTTGTCTTATCGCCTCGGTTCGAGAACACCTCGCTAACTGCCTCGGCCAGTATTGCAATCCTAGGCATCGAGATGTCGAGCGAAGTCAAGTTTCGCGGTCATTTACTGGTATTTCTGGACCGATACGACTTCAAACCTTCAAGAAAAGAGCATACTTCCTTAAAGGCTGGCAACGCGCATGTGACTCCTGAGTTAAAGGCGTTCATGGGCGGCGGTAGTCACTTTCCATCAGGTGACTCATCTGCTCGTTTACACATTCGTTGCCCCACTCGTATTCCAACAAACTAGTGAAATCCTTAGATGTCTTTATCTGGCCCTTTCGCTTCTTTCTTAAGCTCTCTGTCAATTTTCAGGTCTTTAATATGGAAAACCAAGGACTTTTACGCAAAATTGTGAGTGCCCTTGGCCCCCCTTTTTTTTCCGTGCGGAAATCCTCTCGGATACCACCTGTCGGTGGCATGTCGGACTCGAACCGACTAAAACCGCACGCCGTCTCGGGTACTAATAGCCGGGGAACCAGGTATACCCTAGAAAGGAAGTCCCTAGTGCCCCGACATACCTCGGGCCATCTACAACAACAGGTAGACGACCCCCCCCCCGTGTGGGAACCCCATGTTATCTCTGCTGCCTGGAAGCGAGCGCGCTTCGCAACGCGCTCGCCGCCACCCTGGCCTGCTTCTGCTAGGGTGACAGATGGCCTCACCTGTCACCCCCAGGCCTGCGCTTATGGAGGTCGTTCTGCGACCTCCGGCGCCTGAGTTGCCTGCGGTACCTGGCCCGTTCCCGGGCCTGGCGGGCCGGGAGAGTCCTAAACCTCTCCCGGTCCCGCTCCGCCGTCTCCTTCGCGAGCATAACTTGCTCGCAGAAGGAGACGGCAGAGTTCCACACACTCTCGCTTCGCACGATAGCCGCAATCAGGCTATCGAGCGAGAGAACTCCCACTCCGATGGCCGCCACGAGTTCTCGCCTCTGCTCAACCCACGCCGGGCACTCTGCCAGCGTGTGGAGAGCCGTGTCCACGGTCTGGCCATCGCAGTGGTGGCACTCAGGCGTTGGCTCCTTGCGGATCAGACAAAGGTGATCCCCGAAACATCCTTTCCCCTGTGATCACCTGCGTCAGTCGGTATGAGAGGGTCCCGTGACGCCTCTCGAGCCAATCCTCCATAACGGCGTGCCCGGGCCCTTGGTCCCCCTAAATCCAGCCTTATCCTAAAATAAGTTCTTAACTAGTGTAATCGCCTTGTAAACAACCTCTTTCCAAACTTCATATTTATAGTTTAAAAAGTTGCCAGATTTTGTTGTTAGTTGGTTTCATTTATATGTATTTATTTTCAAATCCGCGTTATTCTCAAAGTCGTTAAAGTTACTAACATAATTTAATGTTTTTGTCTGATGTTGAACAAGTATTATTAAATTCCTTTCAAGTTCGAGAGTGTAAACTGAAAGTAATTCCATAATTTTCGATGCAAATATTCAGAAACATAAACTTAACATGATAAATATTTTCATCAAGACAACTTTGTGTTTGTAATATTTCAGGCAGGTATTAAGGGCCCATTAAACAGTTTCGCAATAATGTAAGGGATAAAAAGCGGAGCCGAGCGAAATTCCCGCAACCCAACATTTTGATGTATAACGCCCTTTTGACTGAGGTCACATTTCGTCACACCTCCACAGTCGCTATTTCCCGGCGGTAAAGACATATTACCGGACCTCTGTTTTATTTTTATGTTCGCTAAAAGCCACTGTGATTTCTCGGTCGTAAAACGAATGGGTAATTTTTTCTACTTCCGGATCATAGTAAGCAGCACAAAAATCTAAAAAAGAATTCACTTTTCTCGTAAAATAAACTGCAAACATTTAAATGTATTTAAAGACGATTACTGTACCTATGCATTATATTTCTACATGAGAATAAAGTCTCAAAAAA